CAACAACACAGGTATCAATATATGCCATTATATACTTATACATCAGCGCACTTCTACCTCTGCATAGGCTATTTGAAGATTAAGTGATGTGCGTGTGCAGCAATAACATACATTGCGATGTACATGTAAATGCGATTTTGAGCATGTGTACATTCGTCCATTTATATCGTACTATACCTGCATGGAACATAGGAGTGTAGCACAAATCTGCGTTGTAATTCCGACTGAGTTTCCTCCACGCCAACTCTGAGTGATTCACCATCGGTGCCACAATCATCTTTGCAGAATTCAGTACATTGCGATAGAAGTCATACCCCTTCAGTTTAGTGAGAATCTCACCTCCTGAATTTCTCACAACATTTGTGTCGGTTCCATCAAATTTTGGTACTGCGGTCTGGTGTAGCTCTTCAACGCCTTGAACCACAGTACCGTTTTCTGATTTTGTGTTTACTTCGGTCATTATTGTTTGTGTGTGCAGAAGGCTAATTCGAGAGATGCCTGCTAACGATAAGCTAGGAAATACTACAGCACCTGAAGAAGAATATAATATTCTATTCCAAGACTGCCGAAACATATGATCACTGGGGGTTTACCTTTCGGTACCTATGAGCACCCTGCAAAAGCTTAAACTGTGTGCAAACAAGCGTCAGTGAGATATCACAGGAGCATCAGCTTGCGAGAGGTCGCGGCCGTTTCAATTATAATAAATAAATGACATCTTCCTGCGATAACACAGAAGTTTACTATCTATTTATAGAACACGTGGAAAATACTGAGCTCAAAATTCAAAATTGATTACTTGAAAATGAGTAATGACTCTTGAGAAAGAGACCCTGCCAGGCTGCCACCCTGGTCACTCAGGTGTTCAATTTAAAAGGCTATGCTGATGCTCAGGCCTCTCGTAGCCCTGTGGCATGTACAGGACCCGGGCCTCTCCAGTCATGTCACATAAATATGTGTTTAGGGCATATAAAATATAAAAAGGTTCTTATCCTTGAATCTTTGGACAGTATTGCGTTTAATTAAATACACAGAAGATACCCCGATGTGACAATCTTGTTTCGTCAGCCGTTTGTTATTCTTTCGTTGAGGATATGTTGTTCCGCGTAGAACGTGCGATATCACAATTATTTTGGTCCACTCATTTTGATCGTGTACCTATGTCTGATTGTCTGGTGTGCCGATATGGTGTAGTTGTTTTGGTGTACTAAGATGCAGCAGTACGTAAGTTCGCACCATCGTGCAAGCCACTGGCTATGCGGAAAATCAAGTCCTGCCACCAACGCACAGTGGGGCAGGTGAAACTGGGTTAGGGTTATGGTGGGATAAACAGAGTCCTCTCTACGACTGATACAACGAAAATTTGGATCAGCAACATCTGGCGTATGAGCTGTTCTCGCATCTCTGGTGGCACGGGTCTTGTATATTCTATTTGGAAGGTGTCGAATCATCGTAGAACCAAATCACAAGCAAGTTGAAACACAATTTGTAGCGCTTGTAAAATACACCAGGTGTGTTAATTAAATATTTCATGGTCACCGGTTCTGTGCCATGCTTCAGTACTTGAAACGTATCTTAAGTGCTGGAGCAAGGCCAAGGGCTGGTGGCCATGATCGATCTGATTGGCAAACCTGGTATTCACAAACTAAATTCCAGAAACCATGCAAGTATTGCAAACAAATATATGCGCGATTCCAGCTGCCCAACGCGGTGGCGCCTGCTGTCAAAGGCGCAGCTGTTAATATGAGCTCAAGTCTTTGTCATCTCCCTGCGTATTGTTGTTTGGCAAATTCAACTAATCCAATAAACATTATCACAATGAATAACCAATGTACAACCCAACCAATTTTAGCAGCTTCATGAATAGTGCCACGATGCTAAAAATTGTCATGTATGAAATAAACATTATGCAAATCACGCTCGGAACCGATTTGAATTGCGCTGCCACTGTGAAGGTTTGGGCACGTGCAGATGTAGCAGGTTCTTCTCATATATGGTTTGCTATACCGCACACTTGTGTGTCAAAGCAGATTAAATTCGGATACAGTGATCGATGTACTGCGTGGGTATTTCATACAATATAAGCCGCCATACCAGCTGCCCCCACTCCAAACGCACTGAATTGAAGTCAGGATCATAAAAAATCTGATACATACATCGAAATTTTACTAGAAAGTGTCATTGAGGCAAGGTTGTGATTGTAACAGTGATCAACGCCTCCTATGCAAACAGATGGCACTACTCCGATCTTCTCTCATATTCCTCTATACGGATATTATTCATTCGCGTTAGATCAAATTATTTTATTGTGCGTATCTATGAGGTCTATCACAGCATTGGAAATGAATAGATAACCTTGTGAAAGTACTTAAAGTCGCTTTGCAAATATTTGCGTCAGTTTATACTCTGTATTAAAAAAAATCGGATTATAGGAAGAATACCATAGTAGCTAAAAAATAGACATTGCTCCTACGAAAAAACTTAAAAATTTGTTTATGATTCATTGATACAAATCACAAGTTGATGAGCGTATGTGTGTACACATACGTTGGTACACAAACACACGTGCACACATACACGTGTACACATACACGTGTACACATACACGTGTACCCATACATAAATACGTGTGCGAGTACGTGTGTGTACACATAAACACACGTGTACACACTAACACACACACAACCACACACACACACACGCAGACTCGATAAAACACTCACACAGCACACACGCACACACACATACACACGCGCGCACGCACACACACACTGCAATCACACGTGTGTGTACGTGTGTGCACACAACATGCAACAAACTCACAACCCCTGAACGGCCAGCAACAGGTAGTAATTTTTTATTAAAAAAAGCAGTACATAGTTTATGCTATTAATTGGTTATATGGGGAAGCTGATTAGGTGGTGTAGTAGAACCAGATTCAAAACAATCAATAAAAAAAAACATCACATCACCATGATCCCTTTCTATGGTTTCATTGGGAGTTAGGTTATATCCGATTCGCTTTTGTCAAATCAATAATCTGTAAATACAAAATACAACAATAAATAGATGTTTTTTATAACAAAAAGAGAAAATGACCAAAGAGAGGAGATGACTTTTATATGTACTGTATTTACAATGTACATATAGAGGATGACTCAGATGTAAATGAAAAAAAAAAGCTATTTCATTGGCAATTAAATGACGTAAGTTATTCGTATTGACGGGTAATAAACGTATATTTATTATCATCCCGATTGGACTATTGGTTCAAAAGCTATGAAGGATATACACCAGAACTTCAGGCCACAGAACTGGGTTATGTACTGGGATCAAACTACACAGGAGAACAATTTACTACATAACATGAAGGGTTATTATCGTATATTATATTCTGCCCCGTTATGTTGTGAGAAGCGAGTAGCTCTTTTTTAAAATAGTAATATCCACAGTCGAGACTCGAGGCTCGACGTCGAACAGAGTGTCATGTACAAATAAACCTTATTTTAGAAGTTCGGTACATTTGTAGGTACTCTCAAGTGATTGTTGAGCCTACAAGAAATTTGGAAATTGATTTCCAGTTTGCGTATTGACAATCGACCTTTTGTCTACGTTTTCATTCTCCCGCCTCCCAATATGCTGAAGAAGTTTTTATGTTGGGTAATCCCAAACTTTAAATCGGTAAATATACACAAAAGCGCAACTATAGAATCAGGGTTAAAAATCAAAATACCAAATTGACTAAATATCCGTTGGTAACTGACACTTCCAACAAGTACGTACCTGAATTCATATTGTACATTGATTTCATTTCAAACCAAAATTTGGATTTAGAATTTCGTCCTACTGCCAGCCTCAACCCGATACATACAGTTTATTGTTTTAGGTACAACCTGTTTTGAAAACTTCCGAGTCCCCTGACTGACTCCCTCGGACAAAATAAATATCCTCTCTGTGCTCGATCGGTTCCACGTATTGCATAAATATTTATTCAGATACGCACGCACTTTGTACCTAGTTATGCGTATGAAGCTGTTAGCGTATATTTATGTGTACACACCACAGGTATAGTAGTTCTGGATTTGACCAACCACAGTAGTTGTGGCCGGATCCTAATCGGAAAAGCCCCAGCTGACTCCGGGGTCACCCGAGATGTCGATGGGAAGCAGGTTGTCGACCTAAGCTTCTGAATCATATATCCCTCGAAACCTTTATATAGTTTATTTAGATGCGTTCCTGATATTAAAAGATGTCAGTAGCAAACCTTTTCGCATTAGCAAAGTCGAGGGTCTCGGCTTTAGTCGAGGAGGCGGCTAGGTCCCCCGGATCCCCTGACCACGCCCAAAGGAAGACCGAAATAATTGATCTACTTCACAGTTACGATGCTGAGTTGCATCCCGAATACACCGCGAGTTTGATTCGATTATTATGCGAAGTAAGTGATTAAGATTTTTTTCTCGTACAATAGTTCTCTTGCTGTATAGTATTATGACTATACAAGCTCGCATTCATAGCATGGTTTGAATAGATTACCTTGCTCGTTATGCTCACTAGATATTGCTTGGATCCGAAATTTTCTGTATTATATATGCGCACATATTTTACTATCGCCAAAGACACATATTTCGTGCTAATATGAATCAAGCGTTTTATTAGTATAAGACATTTTATATATATTTGTACACACATAGCTTGTTGCACATACACATAGATATACCAGTCAACGCAGACACAATCGAAAGCGCGAGTATAAAAGTAAGCGTGCATATATATATATTTATATATATATATCTCTCTCTTACCCTCTCTCTATATATATATGAATATTAAAATAGCCATCGAAAGCGCGAGTATAAAAGTTAGCATGCATATATATATACAAACATACGTACATACATACATACATATATATATATATATATATATATACTAATAAAATACATATATATATATATATATATATACACACACATACACACTACAC